CTTTTTCTATTCGGTTTTGATATGTTCAATCAAAGTGTTTTGTGAGGCTATCTTTCAAAATAAACTTGCGCTGTAAGAATATTTATAAACTTCAAGCTCTTATAGGTTCCTAGATCTCGACGTTCATACAGACGGATAGACGGACAGACAGACGGATGGCTTAATCGACTCGGGTGTTGATCCTGATTAAGAATATATATACTATATAGGGTCGAAACCGCCACGATCTACTTTACATACTCTTCAACGAATACAATATATACTCGTATACTATTATAAATATAAGCTAACCTCCAGAAAGTTGATGATTTTATGTTTTTATTGTAAATACAGATATCAAGATAATATAAAAATCGAATAAAGAATGTATTGTTTTTATGAATAAATTTAAATTAATTAATTTTAAATTACCTAAAGACTAGAATCGGGATTCCAGAGTATACATATCACATTTGTTTTTCTTATAGGTGATATTTTTACTCCCCCTAGCTATCGAATTAAACCCGAGACTATTGTCATTCAATTCAAATGATTTTTCGCCGTTTTTTTTGTATTTCCTACTATTTTTCTCTCTGTTACTCTGAATGTCTCTAGATTTTAGAAGACGGACTGGGAAAGGGAATGTGAGGGGATATCTCGCAGGGTCGCAAAATGCAAATGAATGTCGATAATTCAAACGATAAGTTTGTCTTTTGTCTTGTTTGCAGCTACCGTTTGTTGTTTTTTCTGGGGTTTTTCTTAGATTTTTTTTGTTACCTCTGTTTGACTTGGTGTTGTTGCAGTAGCTACCGCCTAGAGCCAACAACCATTAAAAAACCCAAGGAAAGGACTGTGGGGAGGGCGGAATGAGCCAGGACCATGATCACGATTTTCAAGTTTCGACATTTGATTGAGTTTTTTGTTGTTTTTTTTTAATGCTGGTATTTACGGTTTTTCTTATTCAAAGGGGATTGATCTTAGTGTGTGAGTATTGTCGTGAGTTTGTGGGCGTCTCGAAGCTCGTATTCATATCTTCCATTTTGCTCCTTAAGAGCGTTAATTTGACACACAAGTAACCCAGATTAGCGATCATCAATGAAGTAAACAAATGTCTTTATGCTAGGGATGTATAAAATGTTCTACGTATTCATTTAAGGCAGGCTTGCACCTTGTGAGGTCAAAAAAATCAATTTTTTTTTTTGCAGTTTCGGATACATACATGTTTTATTTTTACTCTCCTAAAATTTCGAAGAGTCGAAATCTCTTGAATTACGAAAGTTATCGGCCGTTTGGTGGACCGGTGTCAAGCGCGTTGCCATTATAGTGCAAATTTTCAAACGCGTTTTTCTCGAAACCATGTTTTCCGAGTTGGCGGAAGTCGTACAAGCCGCAAAAATTCAGCAATCGTCATGAAATTTTTTATACATGTTCCTCAGAAGTATGTGCATGGCATAGACTAGGATCTTTTGAAAATATTAAAAATTGTTTATTTAAAAAAATAATGAGTAACGAAAAAATGAGGAAAAAAACGATTTTTTTTTCAAAAGCTCATCATTTTTGCATTTTTTATGTTTTTTCAATTATCCTAGTTCAAGCCATGCAAGCAAGTGTACAGATTAAGAATATATTCGTTTTTTGCGTTTCAGATTATTTCTTAAAATTCCAAAAAATCCGCCATGAGGACGAGTTTTTCGCGGACATGCCGCCATTGTTGGGTACTCCCCTCCCCCTTCGCTTGGATCGCACTCAAAAAAATTGTGTAGCTTCAATAAACTGTACCCTACAACTGGCTAAAATTTTATTCCCACATCTACCATACTTTCCAAGAAATAAATTCCAGAAAAAAATCAGGCTTTGGGCGCCAACAAGGTGCAAACCTGCCTTAAGGAACACACCAGCGGTGTTGCAATTGGCACTCATAAATCTTAATTTTTTCGTTTACCACCCTTCGTCAAATTTGCACTTCAGAACTTTTTAAAAACTTTCATTTTATGTGTAGTTAAAGGAGCTAATTTAAAATCAGGTTTTGGGAACAAATGTTCCCAAAATAAATTTCGATTCATACATGCGAAAAGAATATATTTTGTTTTTATTTTCGTAATCCATTTTTCCTGATTTCTAACTTTTATAATGGTTTTGCACTGGACATTTTCGGTGATGGGTTAGAACGCGATCTGAACTCTTATTGGGCCCAAAACTAGTAACTAGCAAAAGAAAACGAAACAGAAATGAAACAGCTGATAAAAATATGACAAGTCGACTGTCATTAGTCACACAATTAACATATACAAATACCCTCGATGGTAAGGGACTGAGCCGGGGATCCTCCGACCAGATCATTCTGCGATGGTCACGTAGAAGAGCAGAGACACGCTGACTTCAGCAAATTGTCAATTACTCATGCGATGAACGAAAGGAGCATCGCAAAAAGGGCAGGGGTTTCCGGGCGGAGAAAAGAAGGTCCAGACCTGTCCAGTAGCTTAACCTGAATCCCAGGCTATATATACAGCTGGTGCTGGACCGCCTGTCGTCGACGACTGCCTTTTAAAGCATCATTAGCAGCGATAATTAGCGCCGTGCAAACGACAGCCAAGAGATAACCTCAAAAAAATGACGAACACTTGGAAAAAATTAACAATAATATTGATTTTTATATCGTTTTTCTTTGTGCTTTCTATTTTTGTATAGTAAAATCAAAAAATAATAATAAAAGCAGTATTTTATATTATTTTTAGGTTTACAGGGATTTTTTTAATATGTTATCTAAAACTATTTTAAAAGTTTCATATGTTTTAAGTTTAATGATTTTCTTTTCTAAAATTTATTTTCTGTGCACAAAAGAGTAAAGACTGAGTAACCTCTCCAAGCTCCCAACAACAATTTTTTGGCTAATAAATTCAAAATGTTAAACGTTTTCTTTTTGGCTATTTTTCTTTTGCGCCGCTTTGGCAAATTCGAAACTCGTGAGAGATTTTCTTAGTATCCGAAGCAACAGGTTGCTGCAAATCGGGCGAGAAAGGGGCTTAGGGGGTTAACAACATTGCGCCGTGCTTCTATTTCCATTAAACTTAAGCCTCATGCGTAACTTTAGTGAATGGTCAGGTATTTGAGAGAAAAAACCCCGCATTGGCTGCTGCGGTCTGTTGCTGCTGCAACTGAGTGACATGTTAATTAGTTGCTTACATGGCAGCAGTTTGCTGCCAAGGCATTGCCCAAAATGCTAATTATACCCGTTACTCGTAGAGTAAAAGGGTATATTGTATTCGTGCAAAAGTATGTAACAGGTAGAAGGAAGCTTTTCCGACCCTATAAAGTATATATTATCTTGTTCAGGATCACTAGCCGAGTCGATCTAGCCATGTCCGTTTGTCCGTCTGTCTGTCTGTCCGTATGAACGCTGAGATCTCGGAAACTATAAAAGCTAGAAGATTGGCAAGATAAGGAGTTCCTACGCAGCGCAAGTTTATTTCAAAATGGTGCCACGCCCCCTCTGACGCCCACAAGCCACAAGCCGTGGCCACAGTTTTAATGCTATTATGAAAATTTTAATTGATATGTATTTGTTTCATCAATACCTATCGATTGGCCTAATAAAAGTTTGCCACGCCCACTCTAACGCCCTAAAACCCATTAAACGCTTAAGCCTGGCTAGCGCCTACATTTCCGCAATACAATAGCGCCATCTAACGGATGACTTTGGAACAGCTGGCCAAGGTGCTCAACAGAGTCAACGTTAATTCTCGATAAGGATTTATATTAAATGAAATTGCGATGGTTTTCATTTGTCAATACCGAACTATATCCCAAGAACTATGCAAATCAAATCAAGTTAGCCAAATCGGAGGTCTGAGTCAAACAATGGCATATGTGTGTATGTATGTAAGCATATACATATGTATGTATTTACTTTGTACACAGTAGCAATTGCCCGACAATTATAATATTAAGTTGTTTAGCTGAGTAACGGGTATCTAATAGTCGAGGCACTCGACTATAGCGTTCTCTCTTGTTTTCTTATTGGACAACTCCTCGGACGTTCAAAAGCGCGGAAAATGGAAAACCAAGCCGGGTTCGTCGAGTTGAGCAATTTATAATTGAGCAATTTCTCAGCGACTGATTTTTTTGTGGATCCCGTGATACAAACGGGATACAAACTGCATGTGTCTCCCATGCAAATGGATAAGCCATAAGATAAAAATATTTAGTGTCCGTGTCTTTAGACACCACGGCATAGCCATATATTAATATAGTAAAAATTTTAATTACACGCCGAACAGAGAGTGCCCTTTTTAAACCCTTGCAGAGGGTATTATAATTTTGGTCAAAAGTGTGCAACGCAGTGAAGGAGACATCTCCGACCCTATAAAGTATATATATTCTTGATCAGGATCACCTCCTGAGTTGATACAAGCATGTCCGTCTGTCCGTCTGTCTGTCCGTCTGTCTGTCCGTCTGTCTGTCCGTCTGTCTGTCCGTCTGTCTGTCCGTCTGTCTGTCCGTCTGTCTGTCCGTCTGTCTGTTTCTACGCGAACTAGTCTCTCAGTTTTGAAGATATCGAATTGAAACTTTGCACACACCCTTCTTTTCTTTGCACGCAGTATATAAGTCGGAACGGCCGGGATCGGCCGACTATATTCTATAGCTGCCATATAACTGATTGATCGGAAATGCCATAACTTTGGTGTTTGTAAAGTTAGGAAGCTGGGGATTTTCTATGGGTTTTATATTTGGCCAATTAATCTGAACTAACAAATTTCATAAAATCGGCTGACTATATCATATAGCTGCCATATAACTGAACGATTGAAAATGCCATAACTTTGGTGTTTTTCCTTTCTTGTTTTTTATTTAAAAAGTTTTAGTCTCTTTATAATTCATCTGATCCAATCAAATTAACGTCGTCAATATTGAAAACTGCACATTTTACGGTTTATTAGTCGCTAAGAGGTGTGACAAAAGATTCATGGAAATCCATATTAAAAAAATTCAGAATCAGTTCTTTAAACATACTCCCCTCTTGATGTTATAGAAAATCAATATGTTCAAGTACGCAACCTACTTTTTGTACGCATTCGTGGCTTCCGATCTTTTCGGAGCCCAAGCAGCGGATCAGTGTCCCAAAACTCCAACACTTCGCGGAGAAGTCTGCCTCGTGGAACTATCGCCAGTGCTTGAGCACATTGCAAACAACCAGCGCTCTACTGACGAGGTCAAACGGAACGAAACCCAGAAAAAACTAGTCAGGATTGAAAGTCAGGAAAAAGATACAGTCGACAAATTGCAGGCGATTCAAAAAAAGATGGAAATCGAATTGGGAGCGCTTGAGGCCAAGATGGCAATTTCGGGCGATTTGAAGAGCCTGGAATTGTCCCTGCAGGAAACAATAAAAGCTCTCCAGACTTCTATAGCGAGCAACCGCGTGAAGTCAAATACTGAAATTCCTAAGCAATTTCAGAAGATTGGCTCGAGGTACTTTTACATTGAGAAGGAAAAGGGACTTGATTGGTTTGGTGCGGCCAGCAAATGCCATCAGTTAGGTGCTCACCTGGCGACAATTCAAAATCAAGTGGAACTGGATGCCATTAATATGAAAACCTCATCTAATGACTATTGGTTGGACATTACAGACCTGGCCAAATCGGGTGAATTTCTTTCCTTTGCCACGGGAGGCAAACCCCCTTTTTTTAAATGGGCAAAAAATAGGCCAGAGGCCAAAATGAACCAGCGTTGCCTTCATTTATTCAAAGGAGAAATGAAGGAGGGAATGTGCAGCAATACTTTTTTTTTCATTTGCCAATTAGCCCAATAAGATACAGAAAACAGTATAATTTTATTTAAAGCTGTCCTACGAAGCGATTAAATATACGATGTTTACCTCATGGCTTCATTTTTTTTATTTATTTATGTAATAGACTAATAAACTGGCCATGGAATTTAAACTTTTTTTTAAAGGAGCTTCTAGCTAAAATGGAACCAAAGGTGAAATCAATGTCCCAGCAGATATCATTGCAAGAAGCAATCCAAGCCCTTCACAGTTCGCTGGAATTAAAGAAAGTTCCGAAAAATGGCACAATCCATTCTCAATTTGAGAAGTTGGGTTCGGGGTACTTTTATATCGAGCCGAATGTCAAAAAGGATTGGTTTAGTGCGGCGAGAACATGTCGTAAGATTGGAGGTCATCTGGCGACACCCAAAGACGAGGATGAACTGCACCTACTCCGTCAGAAACTCGATTCCAAGTGGTATTGGCTGGACATCAGTGATCTTGCTAAAAAGGACGAGTACGTTTCTTTGGTCTCCGGTGAGACAGCACCTTTTTTGAAATGGAATGAAGGGGAACCCAATAAGAATCCTGATGCCCATTGTGTTTATATATATTCCGGACACTTTTATAAATATTTCTGTGGCGGTAGAAATTACTTCGATTGCTAAGCTGTAGATGCAAAGGATCATAATAATAACAAGATCGGCACCAAATTAGAAAGTAATAATACGAATGTTAAAACTCATAATAATACGAATATTAATGTACATATTAACATTAATATTAATATAAATAAGGACAACAAAGAAAAGGAACAAGAAAAAGACACTGAAAAAGAAAAGGAACTAGCAAGGTAAAAAGAAAAAGAACAGGAATTAACACGGCAAAAAGAAAAAGAAGAGGAATTAGCACGGCAAAATGAAAAAAGAAATAGAAGAGGAATTAGCAAGGCAAAAAGAAAAAGAAGAGGAATTAGCACGGCAAAAAGAAAAGCAAAAAGAAATAGAATAAGAAAAGCAAAGAGAAATAGAACTAGAAAATGAACTAGAAAAAAAACCAGAAGCAGCAAGAAGAAAGAGACCGAGAAAAACAAAGAAAAGAACGAGAAGCAAGAAATCGCAACGAAGAAATTCTCTTAAGAATGAGTAACATAGAAAAAGGGGTATTTTCATGAATTTTTTCACGCGACAACCGTATGTCAGATCAATTATTTTATAACCATTGTAAAGTACAACATTTAAACTACGTTTTCACAAATTCTAATAAAAAAAATTTTGGACTTTAAAGTCAAAAACGTGATTTTAGCCTAAAAATTCGATATATTTGTTATTATAAATAAAAAATAATAATTAAAAAAAAAAACTCGACGTCAGTACCTGCGGATTTAGGTACAGAAATTGTGTGCAAAATTTCAAAACGATTCGTTTAGTAGATTTTGCAGTATCGTGTTCACCGACTTTGGAATTTCAGGAGAGCGTTTTTAAAGTTTTGTACACCGAAAAATCACATACAAAACGAGCTAACTCACCTACGTTCAACTGCCCATTACTTCGGAAGTTTTACTCGGATGAATCTAAAATTTTAACGCAATATTCTTCAAATGTTGTGCATTCAGAAAAAATTTAAATACCATGCCCCCCTTAAGAAGAAGACAAATTTAACTTTAACTACAACTCTTTATATAGATCTCGTTAAGCTTAATATTTTTTCCTTAATAACTTTTGAATAAAATATCTAGGTAAATCAACCTTGCAAAAGATGAAAACGGGGGTTCATTAATGTTCATGTATGCAACCTACTTTAGGTACTCTACTGACGAAGTCAAACTGAACGAAACCCAGAAAAAAATAGTCTGGATTGAAAGTCCGGAAAAAGACACAGTCGACCATTGCAGGCGATTCAAAAAAAGATGGAAATCGAAATGCTAGCACTAAAGGCTCGGAAAACTAAAAGCTCTCCACACTTTCCTGGAGAGCAACCGCGTGAAGCCAAAAGAGTGAAATTCCTCTACATACGTACTGTTGCGGTCATGTAAATAGTAGTGCAACTCAACACTACATTAGAATATAAATTTTCGTTTCTTTTACAGTTATTAGTGGATTATAATTTCAATTTTTGATCAAAATGGAATGTCAGGAAAAAATAGAGAAAGTTGCTTTAGTTTTTGCCAGTTCCATGCCATTTTGGAGGATAATAAGTAGATGCATACTAAATTGGCCGTTCAGTGAAATAATAGAAATAATGAAAACAAATCTAATAAAAAATGTTGTTTGTTTTTAGCGGAATTAGTAAGTTAAATAGAAAATAATTAATTCTAATGATTACAATTTCTTAATTTTTAAGTGGGTCGGGTAGAGCATTGCTTGTCCGAAATAAGAAGTTTTTTATCTAAGCTAATAAATGAAGGAACAAATTACAAGGATATTTAAAAAATTGTTGGATTTTCAACTACCATGATTTTTAAAGCTATTTACTATAAATCGAAGACCGAAAATCGTGGTGGGAATTAAAAACTACAAATTTGGATGACAGACAGATCGTGCAATATGCCAAGATGCATCCATTTTCGTCCGCAGGAGATATAAAAAAAATGAAGTCTGACAAGAACTAACCAAAACTAACAATAATTTGTTTGCCAGAAGTCCCATAAAGGAGCCCCTTTTGAACAGGAGGCACCTAATAGCAAGAATTAAATATGCAAAAGTGCATAGAAACTGGCCCATTGAGACTGACGAGAGTAAGATTGTTATATTTGGTGGTACAGCGTGTAGATAGTATGTTCGAAGTCCACCCATTTACGAATATTGCCCAAACTACACAAAAAATACTTTTAAACACGGTGGCCTGTGCATCATGATTTGGGCTTGTTTCTCTTTTGCTGGTATGGGTCCCATCCATTTGATAATGGACAAAAATGTGTACGTCGATGTTTTAAAAAACATAATGCTACCATAGGCCAGTTGGCAAATGCCCTTTAAGTGGACGTTCCAACAATAAAACGAACACACTAGAAAGCACGCTAGGGCTAGGTTTGGATCGACGTAATGCCATGTCCAGATTGGCTAAAATAAATTGCGATTTTCATTTGGTTATTCTTCCTAAGTGCCCTTAAGTACACTACTATTTTCATGACCGCAGCTGTATGTTATCTTAGTATTCGGGGCAATCAATTTCGATCGTTCCGTTTGATTACCTCGTTACCAGGTGTGACAAACGAGCTAAGGAATCTTCTAGAGTTCAAAAATATATTAAAAATCAGTTCGTTCTACAAACACAATATGTTAAGGTACGCTACTTATATTTTATTCGCATTTGTTTCATGCGGTCCTTACAAAGCCCTTGCTGAAATGAAGAGCCATAGGTGTCCCGAAATTCCACCACACGACGCACTTCAAAAGAGGGAGGAAGTGTGTCTAGTGGAACTATCGCCAGTGCTTGAGCACGTAGCCAACCGGCCGAGGCATGAACAAGAGGCTGAATCTTCTATATTGAATGAAACGCACGGAACGCTGTACAGAATTGCAGGCCATCAAGAAGTCATCGAAAAGCAATTAAAGGCACTGCAAGACAAGGTGGAAAGTCAATTAAAGGAGCTTCTGGCTAAAATGGAACAAAAGGTGAAATCAATGTCCCAGCAGATATCATTGCAAGAAGCAATCAAAGCCCTTCGCAGTTCGCTGGAATTAAAGAAAGTTCCGAAAAATGGCACAATCCATTCTCAATTTGAGAAGTTGGGTTCGGGGTACTTTTATATCGAGCCGAATGTCAAAAAGGATTGGTTTAGTGCGGCGAGTACATGTCGTGAGATTGGAGGTCATCTGGCGACACCCAAAGACGAGGATGAACTGCACCTACTCCGTCAGAAACTCGATTCCAAGTGGTATTGGCTGGACATCAGTGATCTTGCTAAAAAGGACGAGTACGTTTCTTTGGTCTCCGGTGAGACAGCACCTTTTTTGAAATGGAATGAAGGGGAACCCAATAAGAATCCTGATGCTCATTGTGTTTATTTATATTCCGGACACTTTTATAAATATTTCTGTGACGGTAGAAATTACTTCGTTTGCCAAGCTGTAGATGCAAAGGATCATGATAATAACAAGATCGGCACCAAATTAGAAAGTAATAATACGAATGTTAAAACTCATAATAATACGAATATTAATGTACATATTAACATTAATATTAATATAAATAAGGACAAAAAAGAAAAGGAACAAGAAAAAGACACTGAAAAAGAAAAGGAACTAGCAAGGCAAAAAGAAAAAGAAAAAGAAGAGGAATTAGCACGGCAAAAAGAAAAAGAAAAAGAAGAGGAATTAGCACGGCAAAAAGAAAAAGAAAAGGAAGAGGAATTAGCACGGCAAAAAGAAAAAGAAAAAGAAGAGGAATTAGCACGGCAAAAAGAAAAAGAAAAAGAAGAGGAATTAGCACGGCAAAAAGAAAAGGAAGAGGAATTGGCACGGCAAAAAGAAAAAGAAAAAGAAGAGGAATTAGCACGGCAAAAAGAAAAAGAAGAGGAATTAGCACGTCAAAAAGAAAAAGAAAAAGAAGAAGAATTAGCACGAATAAAAGAAAAAGAAAAAGAGGAGGAATTAGCACGGCAAAAAGAAAAAGAAAAGCAACAAGAAATAGAACGAGAAAAGGAAAGATTAAAGAAAAAGGAGCAGCAAGAAGAAAACGAAAGAAAAGCAAGAGAAAAAAAAAAACAAGACGAGGACTATAAAAAACTTTTAGCATTATTAAATAAACCAAAAGTGTATCCATCAAACAAGTGTTGTTGTTCATATGAGGATTTTAAAATAGCGCATCCATACTTATCGTGGTCTAACGTACAAAAACCCGCGTGTTGTTATACACAAGGTATATTAACAACCATACGGCCATGGAAGAGACCAAAGCCCACCTATTATTTGGATGATTATTATTATTATTAATTACTTTTGTATAAAATATTTGAGTAAACATTTTAATTTTGGCAAAGTCTCATTTTCAACTCACTAATAGGTGTGACAAATAACTTCAAGGATCTTACTATTACAAAATTAGAAACAGTTCCTTAAACTTACTCCACTCTTAATGTGGTAGAAAATGCATATGTTCAAGTATGCAACCTACTTTAGGTACGCATTCGAGGCTTCCTATCTTTACGGAGCCCCGGCTGAGTTTTCGAAAGATGTGAAATTCCTTAACATACAGATGGTATCTGTGTATTGGGGCATTAAATTTCGATCGCTACGTTTGATTACCTCGTTAGGAATCTTCTAGAGTTTAATAAATATACTTGGAATCAGTTCGTTCTACAAACTCACTATGCTAAAGTACGCTACCTATATTTTATTCGCCTTTGTTTCAAGCGGTCTTTACAAAGCCCTTGCTGAAATGAGGACCCATAGGTGTCCCGAAAAGAGGGAAGAAGTGTGTCTAGTGGAACTATCACCAGTGCTTGAGCACGAAGCCGGCCGGCAGAGGCATGAAAAAGACGCTGGACTTGTTATATTTAATGAAACGCAAGGAGTTCTGGACAGAATTTTAGGCCATCAACAAGTCATCGAAAAGCAATTGAAGGCTGTACATTACAAGGTGGAAAGCCAAATAAAAAAGCTTCTGGCTTTAATGGAACAAAAAGTTAATATAGTATCCCAACAGATATCCTTGCAGGTAGCAATCAATGCCCTTTACTGTTCCCTTGAGGTAAAGAGTGTTTCGAAATATGGCACAATCCATTCTCAATTTGAGAAGTTGGGCTCGAGGTACTTTTATATCGAGACGAATGTCAGAATGGATTGGTTCAGTGCGGCGAGTACATGTCGTGGGATGGGAGGTCATCTGGCGACACCCAAAGACGAGGATGAACTGCACCTACTCCGTCATAAGCTCGATTCCAAGTGGTATTGGCTGGACATCAGTGATCTTGCTAAAAAGGACGAGTACATTTCTTTGGTCTCCGGTGATATAGCACCTTTTTATACCCGTTACTCGTAGAGTAAAAGGGTATATTGTATTCGTGCAAAAGTATGTAACAGCTAGAAGGAAGCGTTTCCGACCCTATAAAGTAAAGAAGATTGGCATTTTGCATGCAGATTCTAGGAGTTCCTACGCACAATCGCTTATATACGATTTTAAAAATTTTAATATTTCGGAAAAGTAAAAATGCAGTTTTATTGTGTTTATCAATACCTATCGAAATGTAGAAGAAATTTTTCAAATCGGACCATTCGTTAAAAAGTTATGCGTGATCAAAGTTTCTATCTCCATCTCCCTCGCACTCCCTTTACCTGAGTAACGGGTATCTGATAGTCGGGGCACCCAACTATAGCGTTCTCTCTTGTTTGAAGTGGAATGAAGGGGAACCCAATAAGAATTTTGATACGCACTGTATTTATATATATGCCGGACACTATTATAAATATTTCTGTAACGAAAAAAAATACTTCGTTTGCCAAGCCGAAGATGCCAAGGATCATAATAATAACAACATGGGAAGTAATAATACGAATGTTATAAATCATAATAATACTAATGTCAACATAAATGTTAACATTAATATTAATATAAATAAGGAAAAAGAAAAACACGAAAAAGAAAAGCAGGAAAAAGAAAAACAGGAAAAAGAAAAACAGGAAAAAGAAAAACAGGAAAAAGAAAAACAGGAAAAAGAAAGACAGGAAAAAGAAAAACAGGAAAAAGAAAAACAGAAAAAAGAAAAACAGGAACAAAAAAAAAAGGAACAAGAAAAAAAGAAAAAAGAAAAAATGGAAAAAGAAAAACAGGAAAAGGAAAAACAGGAAAAAGAAAAAAAGGAACAAGAAAAAAAGGAAAAAGAAAAAGAGGAACAAGAAAAAGAGGAAAAAGAAAAACAGGAAAGAGAAAAACAGGAACAAGAGAAAAAGGAAATAGAAAAAATGGAAAAAGAAAAAGAGGAAAAAGAAAAACAGGAAAAAGAAAAGCAGGAAAAAGAAAAAGAGGAAAAAGAAAAACAGGAAAGAGAAAAACTAGAAAAAGAAAAACAGGAAAGAGAAAAACAAGAAAAAGAAAAACAAGAAGGAAGGAAAAAGAAAAAATGGAAAAAGAAAAAAAGGGAAAAGAAAAACAGGAAAAAGAAGAACAGGAAAACGAAAACGAAAAAGGCAATAAAAAATGTAAGAAGACTTGTAAGTCGAAGAAATGTAAGAAGACTTGTAAGTCGAAGTGTAAGAAGAAGAAGTGTAAGAAAATTAAGAAAGTGAAGCCTACATAATCATATAGCAGTGATTATAGCTACAATTATCCTTCTCTTAAATATTCATTTAGTAGTGATTGGAGCTATTTATATTACTGGTGGTAACTTCCTTCACATTTTTAAAAGCAAAATGGTCTTTTGTAAATAAAATGAAATCTTATTTCCTGAATACAAAACTATATAACAACTGTTTTTATTTATCGTTTATTTGCGCTTATCAAACAGTATTTTACGACTTTGAGATTTTCAAGAAGACTCTTAAATAGTTAAGGATTGAATTATAGGTTTTACCCATATCACAGTCTAGAAACCGACCCTTAAAAGTCCCAAGCAGGTAAATCGAACTGGATCAGACTGATGGATTTAAAAACGCTTGGTGATGCTTTTTAATTTCTTCCATCTAAAATATTTTTGGCTTATCTGAGCTTTTTAACTCCAGCTGCATCCAGAAACAGAACTCAGCAATCAAATAAGGAAGGAAGTAAACTTCGGCAAGCCGAAGTTTATATACCCTTGCGATTATTACAAATCCACTACATTTCGATTTCTATGCCTATATTACTAAAAACAACAAGAAAGGAAAGCTAACTTCGGGCGGAGCCGAAGTTGATATACCCTTGCAGAATACTCTTTAAATTATATTCTCCAGAATTATTCATATGATGCATTCCTAATACTCATAAAAAATCCAAACTTCCTAACTTTAAAAACACCAAAGTTATGGCATTTCCAATCGTTCAGTTATATGGCAGCTATAGGATATATTCGGCCGATCCTTATGAAGTTTGGTAGGTCGGATTGATTGGCCAAAAATAAAACCCATAGAAAATCCCAACTTCCTAACTTTACAAACACCAAAGTTATGGCATTTCCGATTAATCAGTTATATGGCGGCTATAGGATATAGTCGGCCGATCCTTATGAAGTTTGGTAGGTCGGATTGATTGGCCAAAAATAAAACCCATAGAAAATCCCAACTTCCTAAATTTACAAACATTAAAGTTATGGCATTTCCGATCATTCAGTTATATGGCAGCTATAGGATATAGTCGGCCGATCCTTATGAAATTTGGTAGGTCGGATTGACTAACCAAATATAAAACCCATAGAAAATCCCAGCTTCCTAACTTTACAAACATCAAAGTTATGGCATTTCCGATCAATCAGTTATATGGCAGCTATAGGATATAGTCGGCCGATCCCGGCCGTTCCGACATATATACTGCGTGCAAAGGAAAGAAGGGTGTGTGCAAAGTTTCAGTTCGATATCTTTAAAACTGAGAGACTAGTTTGCGTAGAAACAGACAGACGGACAGACGGACATGGCTATATCAACTCAGGAGGTGATCCTGATCAAGAATATATATACTTTATAAAAATATTAGACAAATAATGCAAATTCAAATTTATACTTATTTATCAAGCCTAATCACTAAAATAGCATAAATGTTGTACTATGATATGCTTATAAAATAATTGATCTGACATTAACCGTATCGTGTGAAAAAAATTCATGAAAACAGTCCTTTTTTTGGCCGAATTAACTATAATAATAACCCCCCTTAAAAAAGTCTAGTTTTATTGCGAAATACATGTAATACTTACGTTATCTGAGTATTCAAGGGATTCAATTTCGATTGATACGTTTGATTACCTCGGTACCAGGTGTGACAAACGAGCTAAGGAATCTTCTAGAGTTCAAAAATATATTAAAAATCAGTTCGTTCTACAAACACAATATGTTAAGGTACGCTACTTATATTTTATTCGCATTTGTTTCATGCGGTCCTTACAAAGCCCTTGCTGAAATGAAGAGCCATAGGTGTCCCGAAATTCCACCACACGACGCACTTCAAAAGAGGGAGGAAGTGTGTCTAGTGGAACTATCGCCAGTGCTTGAGCACGTAGCCAACCGGCAGAGGCATGAACAAGAGGCTGAATCTTCTATATTGAATGAAACGCACGGAACGCTGGACAGAATTGCAGGCCATCAAGAAGTCATCGAAAAGCAATTAAAGGCACTGCAAGACAAGGTGGAAAGTCAATTAAAGGAGCTTCTGGCTAAAATGGAACAAAAGGTGAAATCAATGTCCCAGCAGATATCATTGCAAGAAGCAATCAAAGCCCTACACAGTTCGCTGGAATTAAAGAAAGTTCCGAACAATGGCACAATCCATTCTCAATTTGAGAAGTTGGGTTCGGGGTACTTTTATATCGAGCCGAATGTCAAAAAGGATTGGTTTAGTGCGGCGAGTACATGTCGTGAGATTGGAGGTCATCTGGCGACACCCAAAGACGAGGATGAACTGCACCTACTCCGTCAGAAACTCGATTCCAAGTGGTATTGGCTGGACATCAGTGATCTTGCTAAAAAGGACGAGTACGTTTCTTTGGTCTCCGGTGAGACAGCACCTTTTTTGAAATGGAATGAAGGGGAACCCAATAAGAATCCTGATGCCCATTGTGTTTATTTATATTCCGGACACTTTTATAAATATTTCTGTGACGGTAGAAATTACTTCGTTTGCCAAGCTGAAGATGCAAAGGATCATGATAATAACAAGATCGGCACCAAATTAGAAAGTAATAATACGAATGTTAAAACTCATAATAATACGAATATTAATGTACATATTAACATTAATATTAATATAAATAAGGACAAAAAGAAAAGGAACAAGAAAAAGACACTGAAAAAGAAAAGGAACTAGCAAGGCAAAAAGAAAAAGAAAAAGAAGAGGAATTAGCACGGCAAAAAGAAAAAGAAAAAGAAGAGGAATTAGCACGGCAAAAAGAAAAAGAAAAGGAAGAGGAATTAGCACGGCAAAAAGAAAAAGAAAAAGAAGAGGAATTAGCACGGCAAATAGAAAAAGAAAAAGAAGAGGAATTAGCACGGCAAAAAGAAAAAGAAAAAGAAGAGGAATTAGCACGGCAAAAAGAAAAAGAAAAAGAAGAGGAATTAGAACGGCAAAAAGAAATAGAAAAAGAAGAGGAATTAGCACGGCAAAAAGAAAAAGAAAAAGAAGAGGAATTAGCACGGCTAAAAGAAAAAGAAGAGGAATTAGCACGGCAAAAAGAAAAAGAAAAGCAACAAGAAATAGAACGAGAAAAGGAAAGATTGGAGAAAAAGAAGCAGCAAGAAGAAAACGAAAGAAAAGCAAGAGAAAAAAAAAAACAAGACGAGGACTATAAAAAACTTTTAGAATTATTACATAAACCAAAATGGCAATCAAACAGTTTCATGTGTAATAGATGTACAACCAGACGGCCTTACATGAGGCCAAAACCGACGCGTAGATATTATAATTATTATTATTAATATTTTTTGTACAAAATATCTGAGTAAACATTTTAATTTTGGCAAAGTTTAAAACTCATTTTTAACTCACTAAGAGGTGTGACAAATAACTTCAAGGATCTTACTATTACAAAATTAGAAACAGTTCCTTAAACTTACTCCACTCTTAATGTGGTAGAAAATGCATATGTTCAAGTATGCAACCTACTTTAGGTACGCATTCGAGGCTTCCTATCTTTACGGAGCCCCGGCTGCGTTTTCGAAAGATGTGAAATTCCTTAACATACGGATGGTATCTGTGTATTCGGGGCATTAAATTTCGATCGCTACGTTTGATTACCTCGTTACCAGGTGTGTCAAATGAGCTTAGGAATCTTCTAGAGTTTAATAAATACACTTGGAATCAGTTCGTTCTACAAACTCAATATGCTAAAGTACGTTACCTATATTTTATTCGCCTTTGTTTCAAGCGGTCTTTACAAAGCCCTTGCTGAAATGAGGACCCATAGGTGTCCCGAAAAGAGGGAAGAAGTGTGTCTAGTGGAACTATCGCCAGTGCTTGAGAACGTAGCCGGCCGGCAGAGGCATGAAAAAGACGCTGGATTTGCCATATTTGATGAAACGCAAGGAGTGCTGGACAGAATTGTAGGCCATCAACAAGTCATCGAAAAGCAATTGAAGGCTGTACATTACAAGGTGGAAAGCCAAATAAAAAAGCTTCTCGCTTTAATGGAACAAAAGGTTAATATAGTATCCGAACAGATATCCTTGCAGGTAGCAATCAATGCCCTTTACTGCTCCCTTGAGGTAAAGAGTGTTTCGAAATATGGCACAATCCATTCTCAATTTGAGAAGTTGGGCTCGAGGTACTTTTATATCGAGACGAATGTCAGAATGGATTGGTTCAGTGCGGCGAGTACATGTCGTGGGATGGGAGGTCATCTGGCGACACCCAAAGACGAGGATGAACTGCACGTACTCCGTCAGAAGCTCGATTCCAAGTGGTATTGGCTGGACATCAGTGATCTTGCTAAAAAGGACGAGTACATTTCTTTGGTCTCCGGTGAGATAGCACCTTTTTTGAAGTGGAATGAAGGGGAACCCAATAAGAATCCTGATACGCACTGCATTTATATATATGCCGGACACTATTATAAATATTTCTGTAACGAAAAAAAATACTTCGTTTGCCAAGCCGAAGATGCCAAGGATCATAATAATAACAACATCGGAAGTAATAATACGAATGTTATAAATCATAATAATACTAATGTCAACATAAATGTTAACATTAATATTAAGATAAATAAGGAAAAAGAAAAACAAGAAAAAGAAAAACAGGAAAAAGAAAAAAAGGAAAAAGAAAAACAGGAAAAAGAAAAACAGGAAAAAGAAAAACAGGAAAAAGAAAAACAGGAAAAAGAAAGACGGGAAAAAGAAAAACAGGAAAAAGAAAAACAGAAAAAAGAAAAACAGGAACAAAAAAAAAAGGAACAAGAAAAAAAGAAAAAAGAAAAAATGGAAAAAGAAAAACAGGAAAAGGAAAAACAGGAAAAAGAAAAACAGGAAAAAGAAAAAAAGGAACAAGAAAAAAAGGAAAAAGAAAAAATGGAAAAAGAAAGACAGGAAAAAGAAAAGCAGGAAAAAGAAAAAGAGGAAAAAGAAAAACAGGAAAAAGAAAAACAGGAAAAAGAAAAACAGGAAAAAGAAAAACAAGAAAAAGAAAAACAGGAAAAAGAAAAACAAGAAAAAGAAAAACAGGAAAAAGATAAAATGGAAAAAGAAAAACAGGAAAAAGAAAAACAAGAAAAAGAAAAACAGGAAAAAGAAAAAGAAAACGAAAACGAAAAAGGCAATAAAAAATGTAAGAAGACTTGTAAGTCGAAGAAATGTAAGAAGACTTGTAAGTCGAAGTGTAAGAAGAAGAAGTGTAAGAAAATTAAGAAAGTGAAGCCTACACAATCATATAGCAGTGATTATAACTACAATTATCCTTCTCTTAAATATTCATTTAGTAGTGATTGGAGCTATTTATATTACTGGTGGTAACTTCCTTCACATTTTAAAAAGCAAAATGGTCTTTTGTAAATAAAATGAAATCTTATTTCCTGAATACAAAACTTTATAACAACTGTTTTTTATTTATCGTTTATTTGCGCTTATCAAACAGTATTTTACGACTTTAAGATTTTCAAGAAGACTCTTAAATAGTTAAGGATTGAATTATAGGTTTTACCCATATCACAGTCTAGAAACCGACCCTTAAAAGTCCCAAGCAGGTAAATCGAACTGGATCAGACTGATGGATTTAAAAACGCTTGGTGATGCTTTTTAATTTCTTCCATCTAAAATATTTTTGGCTTATCTGAGCTTTTTAACTCCAGCTGCATCCAGAAACAGAACTCAGCAATCAAATACCCTTGCGATTATTACAAATCCACTACATTTCGATTTCTATGCCTATATTACTAAAAACAATGAAGCTATTTCGATTTTGCGCTGCATTTTGCCATCGTTTTCATGGCAGCTATATGATGTAGTCGCCCGATCCGGTTCGTTCCGATAAATATACTACCTGCAATAGAAAGCCAACTTTTGGGAAAGTTTTAAGCAGATAGCTTTAAAACTGAGGGACTAGTTTGCGTAAAAACGGATGAAATTTAATACCCTCTGCAAGAGTATAAAAATGCGGATACATCATTAACGTTCTTGTCAGGACTCCTATAGTGTTCATATTAATGTCTGTTAGCGGCACGGTAATTAAAAGGCAAGGTCTGTTTGTTGATGTTGTTACTTGATTCATTGTTGCTGACAACAACCATCTCGCCATTCCTAGCCCGCACTATTTGTGATCCACTCTGAATATCTGAGAACCGAGGAAGGGGCGGAAGAAATGCGACAATTCTGCGGTAACTGAGAAACGACCGACTATCTAATGTCAAGATCGATGTCGATGTCGTCACCTACATCTGAAATACAGAAAAGTAACGATGAAAACTAGAAATGTGGAGGGTGCACTCAGAAAATTATTATTAACAAGAAAGGAAAGCTAACTTCGGGCGAAGCCGAAGTTGATATACCCTTGCAGAATACTCTGTAAATTATATTCTCCAAAATTATTCATATGATGCATTCTTAATACTCATAAAAAATCACAACTTTCTTACTTTAAAAACACCAAAGTTATGGCATTTCCAATCGTTCAGTTATATGGCAGCTATAGGATATAGTCGGCCGATCCTTATGAAATTTGATAGGTCGGATTGATTGGCCAAAAATAAAGCCCATAGAAAATCCCAACTTCCTAACTTAACAAACACCAAAGTTATGACATTTCCGATCAATCAGTTATATGGCAGCTAAAGGATATAGTCGGCCGATCCTTATGAAATTTGGTAGGTCGGATTGATTGGTCAAATATAAAACCCATAGGAAGTCCCAGCTTCCTAGCTTTGCAAACACCAAAGTTATGGCATTTCCAATCGTTCAGTTATATGGCAGCTATAGGATATAGTCGTCCGATCCCGTCCGTTCCGACTTATATACTGCGTGCAAAGGAAAGAAGGGTGTGTGCAAAGTTTCAGTTCGATAGCTTTAAAACTGAGAGACTAGTTTGCGTAGAAACAGACAGACGGACAGGCGGACAGACAGACGGACAGACAGACGGACAGACGGACATGGCTATATCAACTCAGGAGGTGATCCTGATCAAGAATATATATACTTTATAGGGTCGGAGATGTCTCCTTCACTGCGTTGCACACTTTTGACCAAAATTATAATACCCTCTGCAAGGGTATAAAAATATTAGACATATAATGCAAATTTAAATTTATACTCATTTATCAAGCCTAATCACTAAAATAATGTAAGCCACATTTTTTGAATTTTTTTTTTTTTGGGTTTTGAATAATAATGTTAGGTTCAGGAACAAGGTGTAGAATATTTTCAATCAGATCATTTAATTTTTGTAACAGGGTATATAAACTAAGCCTTGTCGAAGTTTGTTTCCTCTCTCTGTTATTTTAACTTTTTAACTGTTACTTAGATGCAAGAAACATAACGAAACGAACTTTTTGGATGATTTCTGTTGCACGTATATATATACATACACAATAGTTCATAATTTTCTGGTGAACCGACGTCTATCTTGAACTCACATTTTTTTTCTTTATCAGAGGGCGTTGATTGGCATGGCAAAGTAAATTATATTGAATGCTAATTTCTATAGACAGACAATGGCGCTCCATTAATAACTGACAGGACAGGACAGGAACTCAAAACTTCGGCTCAAACAACAACCAAAGCTCAAAAGCCACCGACAGGCAACATAATTCTGGAGACGGCGGACTGGATACAGTGGAGACAGAGGAGTGGGCGCATTAGTTGACTTTTGTTTTGGGCAAACCCTTTTCTCCTGGCTAGAGGCTACAACAATAAATAATAAAATGTTGACACGACAACGTCATAACCTTTGAACGTGAAAATACTCATAGACACATACTAATCCGAGCCCAAATGGGAGAGACTTAGTCGGAATCTTTTGCGTGGGCTGTGTACCTTATCTCCGCTCCCCCTTCTAGCGACTGCATTCAATTAGCCTCTTCCCTGAATCCTCCTATTTGAAATAATAATACCTATTTAAGTTGGCGACGCCAATGCCCGTAGGCATCTTTCTTACACAGTAGCGTCACCAAAGGGGACTAATTTTTATACCCTTGCAGAGGGTATTATAATTTTGGTCAAAAGTGTGCAACGCAGTGAAGGAGACATCTCCGACCCTATAAAGTATATATATTCTTGATCAGGATCACCTCCTGAGTTGATATAGCCATGTCCGTCTGTCCGTCTGTCCGTCTGTCCGTCTGTCCGTCTGTCTGTTTCTACGCAAACTAGTCTCTCAGTTTTAAAGCTATCGGATTGAAACTTTGCACACACCCTTCTTTCCTTTGCACGCAGTATATAAGTCGGAACGGCCGGGATCGGCCGACTATATCCTATAGCTGCCATATAACTGATTGATCGGAAATGCCATAACTTTCGTGTTTGTAAAGTTAGGAAGTTGGGATTTTCTATGGGTTTTATATTTGGCCAATCAATCCGACCTACCAAATTTCATAAGGATCGGCCGACTATATCCTATAGCTGCCATATAACTGATTGATCGGAAATGCCATAACTTTGGTGTTTGTAAAGTTAGAAAGTTGGGATTTTCTATGGGTTTTATATTTGGCCAATCAATCCGACCTACCAAATTTCATAAGGATCAGCCGACTATATCCTATAGCTGCCATATAACTGATTGATCGGAAATGCCATAACTTTGGTGTTTGTAAAGTTAGGAAGTTGGGATTTTCTATGGGTTTTATTTTGGCCCAATCAATTCGACATATTAAATTTCATAAGGATCGGCCGACTATATCCTATAGCTGCCATATAACTGATTGATCGGAAATGAAATAACTTTGGTGTTTTTAAAGTTAGGAAGGTGGGATTTTTTATGAGTATTAAAAATGCATCATATGAATAATTTTGGAGAATATAATTTGCAGAATATTCTGCAAGGGTATTTCAACTTCGGCTCCGCCCGAAGTTAGCTTTCCTTTCTTGTTATTAGTAAATTAAATTATTCAATTCACAACAATATAATATAGCTGCCATAGAAACAATGGTTTTTAGTAATATAGGCATATAAATCGTTTTGTAATAACTGCAAGGGTATAAAACTTCGGCTTTCCGAATATTTCTTCCTTTCTTGTTTTTAGATAGTTTTAAAGATGTTGAAACAAATTGATATCGGAACAAAATATGAAAACAGCATACAAATGTAAAAAATATAGTTTATTAATTCAAAAGTCACTTTTAAATTGGTATATTTATTATTTGCCATTAATCATTTGCGATGGCATTTAAATATATTTAAATCCAAGGAGGGCAGCCATAAACTGGCTAAATAAATTCCGGGTATACGCACTAAATTTGGAACAGTAGTGGAAAAAATGGCAGTTAGATATCGCTGCAGGTGGCAGGTTGGAGCCTTCGTCTGCAGTCGGCAACTTACAAGTTGGCAGTTACCAATTGGTCACCAAAGACAAGCGACAATTCAGCAATTGAGCAAGTGAACATGTCCCTGGCTCATTACGGGCAGCCAAATATCGCGGCTGGTGCACTGGAGGAAACCCGCTACACAAGAAGACAAATGTATAACGTGCTGAAAGTCCTTAAAGCGGAATAAGGATTTTTTACTACATTACACTTTAAATCATATAATATAACATAAGAAAGTCGTATTGATATTAAACTATTTTTTTCTCTGTAGTACATAGTATGTGATTCATCTCTGCGGCGGCCTCACATCAAATCGAATTAAAACGACTGCTTGTCGATTCGACTGACTTTGATTT